AGCACACAAATAATCAGATAACTTTTACCTGCAGAAATCAAACTACATCACAAAGAAAGTAGTTACAAACAGAAATCCAGTCCAGCAGCACTTTACTTTTGACCTGGATCTGTAGCCATACTTTTCTGGCTCAATTTTACTTGTTTAAAAACTGGAATACTACAAAAAGCCTATCTACAGATAGTAGATCCAGGATTTCCCAGGTTAAAAATAGACAGTGAAGGTGTTTTGATTCAACTTTTTTTTTTTTAAACAACCACTGGGACTGGGAGAAGGGGAACAACCTTCCAGCAGCACCATTCTCCTTTTGCACACTGAAAATATTAGGGATTTTCCAACAGGTGTTACTATCTTGTGGGGACACTGAGAGCAGAAGGAATCTGGAAGTAAAGTGAGGAGCTCAGAATTTCAAAGTGAAAAGGGTGAAAACGAAAAGATAAAAGAAGTAAAGCTAATTTTAAACCAATTCCCTAATTTGTAACGCTCTAGTTACTGTGAGCAGATATGGAAATACAAAGCCTCTGATTCTCTCCAGCTCTGCCCAGCATGCAGGAGGCCAGGGGAAGCACAAAGGGAGGTAGAACACATAACTTCTGATGAAAAGTCCAGATTTAGGGCACTCCAAGTGAATTAGACACTAAGAACTGTCCCAGGTAACTGCACCTCCATGCAATTGAAACATGGCATAGTTACTAATGAAACTTACACATTTACAGAATGCTTATGGCTCCCGGGACATGAATCACAGCTGACATCATGCTGCCAAGAGGCAGGACACTTGGGCTCAGCAGCTTCCCACATGCGGAGTCACAAGCCCCAGAAACACATTTTAGGATAAGCAGATACTTTTTCCTCTTGCCAGGTCCTGTGGAGGACAGGGTGGGTGGTCTTTTCCAAAGGGCTGCAGAGCAGTCTCCTTGTGTCACAGGACCACTGGAAGGGCTCATCCACACACCAGCTTCTCCCCAAGGAGCCCACAGCCAGACATTTTCCATAGCAGGGTTTAAAAAAATCCTATCCATCATGCTTAGCAGTGTCAGTCTGCTGCCAAAGTTTGTCAGCTATAGCCTGGAAGCATCCAACTTTTTGAGGGTAGAATCCAAGCCCTCTGTTCCATATGTAAAAGCTTTAGGGCAAAGGCAGAGTTTGCACCCGCAGCACAAAATTTCTTGTGGGTTGTTTTCTCCCAGATGCAAAAACTCTTAACAGTGTTTGAATTAGAATGTTTTTAACATGTTCATTTTATGATCCAGTGGTTTTATTGTCACCACTGACACTGCTCATGCTTCCCAGCCAGCTGTAAAGGGTTGGCATCCTGGGCTGAAGCAGGAGCTGCCTTGGCCACGACAAACCAGCCCTCCTGGGCTCCTAAAAACCTGGCAGATCCACAACACAACCCCAGTCTGGGTCAATAACATGGAAGACCAACGAGCACTGAAATTCAGCTAAATTGGGGAAGAATTTGCCCTTCTGTTGCTCTGAAAACCTTCATCCTTGCTGTTAACCCCTCACTGAGCCCGAAGTAAATTGTGTGACGTCCTCCTGCCTTCAGCAGAGTCCTCGCCTGTTATATCTGGGGAAAGCAGCTGCTGGAGACAGCTGGAAGGAGACTTTTATGATTATTACAGGAGCTGCAAAGTCATCTGTGCCATGGCAGCACTCAGATGTTTAGCAGTTTCTGTCACCAACACAAATTCTAATGTAAAAATGAATCTGCAGGCAGCTAAGAGAACCCACAGCACCCAGCCCAGCCATGTTTCAAGAGAAGGGAAGCTGCAAGAGGCTGGCAACCCCTGGAAGATGCAGGAGACATTGCTGGGAGCTCACGGTTTGGTCACTGTCAGGATGCCACAGATGTGACAGAATGGAAAATTGAATTGTAAACTGAAAATACTGAGATCTTTTTAGTGTCATGAGATGTATTTCTAATGGCAGCATTTAAAGAGTTTGTGTCTCATAAGATGATGTTTCTAATTTCAGAGAAAAAAAAATGACTGCTCATCTGAGCCTTTCAGATGCACATCAGCCAGCAAGTAATTGAAGACAAAGTGTTTTTCTGTAATAAACCTTCATAATGAAGCACCAGAAGAAAATCCTAAAGTTCAACTCAATAAATCATGCTAATCTGCAGAATGGGATTTTCCTGCCACTAATCTTGTTAGAGCTGGGGCACTGTGCAAATATATCTAAACACATAATTACTGAAGAGATATTAAACGGATCGATTTATTTCAATAAAAAATGCAAACTTTGAGGAGAATTCATTAATACTCAAAATCCAGCCAGGCAATAAATAACACTAATGAACTGAGAAAAAGGAATAGATGAACAAGTACTGACATGATGTCTTATGCTTATTGCTGTTAAAGAGGAGCTGACAACTACTCCACTTGAAATATAAATCCTGCAAGGGAAATGCTAGAAAGTGAGTGAAAGACTTGTTAAAAATAAGTATGTACATATATATACACACATTTTAAGAAAGCATTAGGATGAAAACTAATTTAATTTCATCCTAAGGAGGCTATATTACCATTTTCATCACCCTTAAGCTGTGTTTACATTAGCAACCAGTGCTGTGCAACAGGAGCATGAAACAGCTGTTGCTGAGATGCTGCCAGCACAGCATCTCTAAATGTGTTGGGGGTTTGCTGCCAGCCAGCTCCAGGGTGGTCCTGCAGCCTGAGTGCCTCACAGAGAGCAGGGTACCCTGGCCACAGGGCTGCAGGATCTCCCTGGTCCATTTTGTCCCAAGGGAACTCCAGAGTGAATGCTCCGTAATGTGAATGAGACCACAGCGATTGTGGGTGTGGCAGCAAACACAGCATTTTCCTCAAAATCAGCCTCCTGACTGGCACTGAAACGTTTCCTGCAGCAGAAGCACTCAGGGCACTGTAAAGAGCTCACACTAGGACAAAAGAGCCAGGCACAGCAGAGTGCAGCATTCACCCACACAACCCAAATGACCCAGTGACAACCAGAGGTATCTAAAACAGCCTTTTCAGGAAGGGCTGTGAGAGCTTGTCGGGACAGAACCCAAAACATGTTTTTCCTTGTGCTTGGGAAGTTCTGCAATTTGCTAAGAGGAAAGATCAAAACATTTTGGAATTAGTACTGGTATTTTGGAATTATAACATGGTATTCAAACAGCACACTTGGGAGTTATCCAGGCTGCTTCAGAGGACACTTGCAGTGATTTTCTACAGGCTCCTGAAACAGAAAGAAGACATTGAGGGGCTGAGGTGTGTCCAGAGAAGGGAACAGAGCTGGGGAAGGGTCTGGGGCACAAGTCTGATGTGGACCAGCTGAGGGATCTGGGGTTGTTTAGTCAGAAGAAGGCTTATCACTCTACAGCTACTTTAAAGGAAGGTGTAGTGAGGTTCTCTTTTCCCAGAGAATAATATGGGAAGAGAAGAAATGGTGTCAAGTTGTGCCAGTGGAAGCTTAGATTAGATATTATGAACAATTCCCTCACTGCAAGGGTGGTCAGGGAAGTGATGGAATCGCCAGCCCTGGAAGTGACCAACAAGGTGTGGATGTGGCACCTGCAAGTTTTACTCAATCCCACAGTTCTTACAGGAAAGGAGGTGCTGCCACCTCTCCTGGTGGAAGATTGTTCACTCATTCCTTACCTGAAAGCTGCTCCTGCCCATTGTTTGGGACAACAGACTTCAGCATCTGAGGGGGAAGAACGCTCAGACATCAAGTTATTAAAAATCACAACTTCTTTCAATAGTCTTAAGTGGGAAAATGCTGGCAAGGCACCCAAACCTCATGTAGATGAGCAGCTCAGGCTTTTACTGGTTGTAAAACGAGTGATTTATGGCAGCATGTACAATATGTTGTTATTGCCTTTGCAATTTATGCTCTCAAAGGGCAGAGAAGAGGTGGCTGTGAAAGAATTACACATCCCCTGCTCCTTCCAGCAGATGCCTCTCTGTACAAATACCACTTTGACAAAAATCTCTGCTTTGTTCTAACCCATGTCTCTAAAGAATTTCTGTAAGGGCAACTACTACTAGCAACAAGCCAAACAAACGTTGTGTTTTTGTCACTTCTTTAAGTTTATCCCAGAAATATAAGAGCTTTCTTAGTTTTCATTCTACTGAGGGATTCTCTTCAAGCTTTCCTTTAGATCAAGGCAAGGGGGAGCCTGGCAATTTCAGGGCATTTTGTTGCCAGCAAGGAGTGGGATAAAGCAGCCTGTTCTGCAGCCTCCTCAGGACTGCAGCTCTGGGCAAGTGATGAATCTGCCACCAGATGTCACCCAGAGGCCACTCCTGTCGCCTGCTGAGACGCCAGCAAGCCCCTAGATTTCCTGCAGGCAGCAGGGATGGTCACAGCACTCTCATCACTCCTGCAGTTACGCCCACATTTAACTTCGGGTTTCTACTTTGTGCCCTTAAAAAAAGAAAAGAAACTTTCAAGCTGCAGTATGTCTTCAAAATGCATCGAAAGCTGAAGTACACTGCAAGAGCTAAAAGTAAAATGCTATGGTTGTTGATATCTTTACTGGAGGCTTGTATTTCTCATTTTACAGAATTTTATCACCTTGCAGAGTTTACCCTTATCAAACTCTTATGGGGAAAAAGAACAAGGTACTAAGACAGATAACGGATTGCAAGAAAACAGCAAGCAATGCAGAAAGAAGCAGAAGCACCTTGTGACAAAGGAACACAAAAGATTTCCTTTCAAAATAAGGACAATTATAACAGGAAAGAACCAGCAGGATAAAAAAAAAATATAAAGTCTAAACAGATGAAGACTATTAGACACCTTTTACAAATTCGGGAATACACCTAAAAAATTAATTTCATAGGGAGCATCCAAAGAAAGCACAGAGGGACATGATTTCCACTGCTTAAAGTCAAGGTTAAGCTAAAAGTACCTTCTCATATTTGCCACACAGTCAATGCTTTACTCTTTAAAAATTGTGTCAATGTTTTGAAAATTGAATTTGGAACTCTCAGTAAGAATATTTATGCAAAACAATAGAAAAATCAGAAGTCACAACTCAGCTGTTTATTGAGAAAGAACATCCCAACACAGTATCTGAACTTTTGCTTAGACAAGAAATTACTTTAAGGAGAAAGCAAGATTCAGACTGTTCACAAGAATCAGTTCTGTGCACACCTGAACCTTCTTGTTTCCTCTCACCCAGCCATACTTTACCAAGACAAACCTGGGAACAGTTCTTCTGGTTCTGCTAAGTTATGGGGAATGTTTATGTTTTCAGAACTTTAAATACTGAAACCACAAAAGTAAAACAAACTCCCAAACAATCCAAACAAGATGCAGAAAAAGAAGTTTTCACCTCTAACCCCCTATAAATAAATAGAGTATAAAAAAATCAAGTTTTACACTGGCAATAATTTCAGTTATTCAGTAGTAATTGGATACTTTTCTTAGCATGACCTATCATTGTAACCACACAGTGGTAACAAATAAACTTTCAGTACCTGTAATAAAGCAGCTAAGAGTAAACAAAATACTTTTTTTGAGAAAACATACAAAAATCACAACTATTATATTAAAAACTCTGTTGTAATTATATCCAAAATAACTATCAGAGCATTTAGTTCATACAATGTTGCCGCAAATTTTCAAATCAAGTTATTGATCCAAGACAATCAGTGCTAGAAATGGGCAACCATCTCAAGTTTGTCTGCTTGGGGACACAGACAGCACAACTTGTGTGTAGTCACGACAAAATTGGAACCATAAGGTGAAAGGACAGGAAGAAATCAAGGCAAAGAAGTTAAAAAAAGCGCCAAGTTCCCTGCATTGTCCCATTAAAGCACATTTAGAACACCCACAGCAGCTGCTTCAAATCACAGTGTTTTGTTTTGGGTTTTCTACTGGTTTACTTGGGACTCAGATGTCCATTTAGACATTTAAGACCTCCTCAATTTCAAAAGCCAGATGCAATGATTTCCTGCTACAGCTCAGGTAAGAGTTTCAACTGGTGTCCTGAAGAGAATTTGCAGTTTGTGAACCCCTCATTACACATGGCTGCCAATCCATATTTCAATACAACCATGAAGCACCGAACTCCACTCCATGAAACATAGTGCAAAACCTGAAGGAATGCCCATGAAATATTTGCTAGCTCTTGGAAAGTGCCCACAAGCATCACCTGTGTTAATACCCTGTATCTCAGCTTGCCACTCAGCAACTCTTACTCAGAGAAGGGAAACTGTATGGCAACAAGAACCCAGCCCCTCACCCAGCTGTGACAAAATGCTCAGAAGTTCAAGGTTCAAACACATTCAGTTCATGTCCATCATAGAACTCTCTCAGTTGGCTTGACTCATATTTTATGGAAGGTTCTTCCATTCGCATCCCAGGCTCCAGAGTGTTCTGCCCTACTATCTTAAGGTTCACCAGTTTTATTTTCCAGGTGTTATTCCTCACGGGGCAGCTGATGAGCCCAAAGATTTGCTCAAAGACACCCAAACAAGCGTTGTCCCTGTGCACTGTGCCAGCCACTGCCACCAGCATCAATCCATGAGGGGACATGGCACATTTCAGGCCACTGGAACGCAAATTTGGGTTGAAGAGGAGACATTCTTCTTTAACCAAGGACAGCAGGCGCAGGCTCACCATGTCTGCACCCACATATTGTTCCACGTTTTTTTCCAAAGTGTTGTAACAGAACTTCAGTTTGGCATCCTCCCAAAAATGCTGTGGTCCCCATGTTGCTGCAGATTTTACTCCCAAAGGGTGCTGAGAGTTCAGGAGTTCAAAGTACCACTGGCAGAATTCTCCTCCTAGACCACCAATCTCATCTTGTGGAGACTTCTGCCCACTTCCATGACTCTGCAGTCAAGCAAATTTTTTTCTTAGAACCGTTCAGCAAGATTATCACTTGGAAAAACATCAAATCATGCACATACTTCTTAGAGTAAACCTTTTAAGTGTTCTGAGCCAGAGTGCCTGAAGAGAAACACCAAAGTAAAAGCTCATTTATTTTTACTAACATGATTATCTAATGTAGAGAACCAGGACAGGTTCTTTGAATTACACCTAGAAAGTGCTTCAGTGTCTTGGGCTCTTTACAAACAAAGAGGAAAATCCTGGTTCTACTGAAAAAGGGCAGGGGAAGGATGTAAAGTGACATTTTTTGGAACTAAATGTACAGGTACTTTGTAGGACTTCTCTGTATTTATGACTTGACAGCAAGACTTTTTTTAGCAGTAAATCAAATATCAAGTTTGCTAACACCAAAGTCTGGTAAATATTACATTATGTTATAAGCATTAAGCAATTAAGCATGAAAAGTTTGGAGAATTCTGTATAGAAATGCTGTATTTGTTTCACCCCAAGTTGAAATTAATTTCCAATTTTGTTACATAAGTTCATGTTTCCCATTTCTTCAAAATGGTGAAGAAAGAAGGGACGAGAATTAAGTGAAAATAAATGCAAAGAAAGATGTATGTGATAAAAAAATCAACTGACTTTCTTTTAAATTTATGAATGTGTTTTAAGTGCTTCATTTATGTACCAACTACCACAGAACTTTGATAAGAGAAACCCTTTTTCTTTTGCTGAATTATGCACAGAGAAAATGTTTAGAAAGCAATTCTCTGCAAAATGCTAACTGTCATCAGTTAATCCCTGAGTGAAAGCTCCGTGCAATAGGTTCTCAACAGGGACAGAGCTCTCACAGCCCAGGAGGTGGGGCTGCTGCCCACGAGGGCTATGAACCACAGCAAGGGGGGCAATTAGAACCACAAATAAACCCCATCTAGATCATTACACCACAAGGATTTGATAAATGGCAAAGATTATAACTTCAAAATAACCTACTATTGCCAAAATACATTTTCTTATGCTGTATTAAGTGTTACAAATTCATGGGCAAATTTTGTTCAGCTGTTTCTGGCTCATATGGAACTCATTGCTGCAGCTCAGGAGAACAGGTCTTACTCAGCTGAATGTGTGTTGGTTTTCCTTCTGATCAACCTGGGACATCTGCATGGACTTTTTTTAGATCTCAAAGAGGGAACAATAATCTAAAACACAGGGATAAGGAATGTGTCCTTGAAGGATTACCAGACACTGGGGGCAGGCATTCCTTACTCACTATAGCTCTGAACAGAGCCCACCATAATGATGAGTTCTGTTGTTTGGGAAAAAAAAAAACAAATGGCACTGACCTGTCACTGTTGGAAACTTAATTTATATATTTTATCAATATATAAACTCCCTAAAATCACAAGGGCCTCTGCAGGATTTCTGTGCCATTCATACTGTTTTCAGTCCCTGAACCCACAAAACTATCTGTGAATATCTTCTACTTTAGCCTATAGGGCAATTTAAAAATTCAAAGCACGGCGAAGACCCCACACATTAGAGTTCAAATACTGTGGAAAACATAGCAGACACCTTCAGATGTTATAATTTAAAAACCAACCAAACCAAACCGAGCAAGAGTTAAAAAGGTTTGGGACCTTCCTACAGGTGCAGAGCCACATTTGCGGCGGTCATGCCGTGGAGGCAGCGCTGAGCAGCCCGAGGATTTTGGGCAGCAGCAGCACCCACCTGCACAGGAGGTTTTCTGTGCCCGGGCTCCGGGGCTGGAGCCGTGAGCTGCCTGCTCCAGAGCTGCCTCACACGCTCGATCAGGACGTGCTTCTCCGAGGAGGGAGGCACCGCGACTCCCTGTGCTGCCAAATACTTGAAGATGATTTCCCTGCAGACTTTCCTGCGCCTCAGAAGTTCTTCCACATTTTGGCTGTACATCAGAATGGCATCAATGGCCTCTGTAAAGAAAGACACTGAAGTTAGTTACCTTCTTTCACAATGAAACCCCAGAGCTAAACCATTTCTTAAACTCCTGACCTCCACGCGCAGTAGAAGACAAGGTGGCAGGACATGAAGAGACTGAAAGTTTGTCTGGAAACTGAAATCTGGCCTCATCATATCACACAGAATACACCCAAAGGCTTGCAAATATGCTTCTTGGACAAGAGTTCCAGTGAAGTGCTTCAGCAATGCACAGTAGTTTGAGATAGTGAGGTTCCACCTCCTTCCTCCTTTCTGAAGCCTGCTAGAAATGAACTAAATCTGTTTTATTTCCACACTAATGTGACTACAACTCCCATGTTCATAAGAAAATACATCCTAGCACAACAACAGTGCATTGAACGGCAACAATAAACAAAATCCAGCAATCCAGCTACAAGGCTCTGTGGCAGAACAAGGAAACATGACAAACTTAAATTCACTTTTAAAGCAGTTGCAGCAGACAGTTCCCACCTGAACTGAGGCTGGCACTTAACAGGGGACCTATAAAAACCCTAAATCTAACCAGAAAGAAACAGCTAAAGTAAACACAAAAAACTTTTAATTTGACTTACAACCACTGCAAAAAGTAGGGGAAAACAGGCAAAAGACCTTTTAAACAAACGTGTTGAGCAAATCTTACAGGTTTTAGTTACATCTCATGAAACATACTCAAGCCTCTAGGATGAGTATATATCTCTCTATATATATACTCATCAGGTGTACATATATATGAGTACATATATATACCTGAGGCCACTGGGCAGCAAACCCAGTGGCCTCAGGTAACTCCCATAAAAAATGAATTCTTATGAAACAAATCTCAACAAAGTGATGGAGGATGCTCACAACCGGAAGCATCCTGCAAAAAAACATTAAGTTCCGTGTAGATTCGTATTTTAGCCTTTCAAAACCTGAAAGCAAATGTGACTGACGCCAACAGCGAGAGACTCGTGAGCTGTCAATACTTTAAAGCACAAAGGGCACAGCCGCGCTCGCAGCTCACTGCGCGGCTCTGAGAAGGAAGAAATGCGCGCAGAGCGGAAGGTTTGCTAGAGCCCGTCGCCACCGCAACTCCCGCGGCCTGAACAAGCCGAAGCTCCGAGCAGCCAAGCCCCGGAGCTGCTGGGCTGTGCAGGAGGAGGCTCCGGCAGCGACCCCGAGCCCCGCGAGCCCCCCGGGGCAGCCGCGGCCGCTCGGCAGGCCCCGCTCGGCAGGCGCCGCTCGGCAGGCGCCGCTCGGCAGGCCCCGCTCGGCAGGCCCCGCTCGGCAGGCGCCGCTCGGCAGGCGCCGCTCGGCAGGCCCCGCTCGGCAGGCCCCGGCGCTGCCCGCGCACCTTGGCGGCTCTCCGGGTGCACCAGGCGGCTGGTGACGGTGTCGGTGAGCGCCAGCAGCTCCTCGGTGCGCAGGAGCTGCAGCAGGTCCCGGCACCCCGCCCGCTCCCGCTCGCTCAGCCCCGCGCCCGCCATGGCCGCCCCGCCCGGCCGCGCTCTCCGGCGGCGGCGCCGGCTGGAAAGAGCGGCCGGCTCCGAGGTTCCGCGCGGAGGAACGGCCGGGAGGCAGCAAAGAGACAGGGAGGGAGGCGGGATTAAACGGAGAGATGGTGTGCTACAGGCATGGAGAGTTCATCGCGGGGTGTGTCTTTCCCTGCCAGCCCGCCCCCAGGCGTGCTGAGCGCCGGGGACACGAAAGGGGTCTGTGGCTCCTGGTCCATGGCCAGCGGATGGGAGCCGGCCCTGGAGCCGAGGGCGATATCCCTGTCCTGGGGACATCAGGGACAGGACAGCCAGCAGGGGATTGTCCTGAGGGCATCAGGGACAGCACGGCCAGCCAGGGATTGTCCTGGGGACATCAGGGACAGCACGGCCAGCAGGGGATTGTCCTGGGGACATCAAGGGACAGCATGGCCAGCCAGGGATTGTCCTGAGGGCATCAGGGACAGCATGGCAGCCAGGACACGCAGGGATTGTCCCGCTCCGCTCTGGGCTGGCATGGCCTCACCTCCAGTCCTGGGGCACCACTGAGCTATAAGGTTATAAAGCCGTTAGAGAGTGTCCAAGGGAGGGCAACAAAGATGGGGAAGGGGCTTGAGGAGAAGGCGTATGAGGAGGGCTTGGTCTCTTCAGCCGGACAAGGAGGCCTCAGTGCAGTTACAACACCCTTGTGAGGGGAAGAGGAGGGACAGACGCTGATCTTTCTGTGGTGACAGTGACAGGACCCGAGGGAACAACCTGAAGTGTCAGAGAAGGATTAGGCTGGAAGTTTGAAAAAGGTTCTCCCCAGCAGCAGCCTGGCAGAGTTCAAGCAGCATCTTGATAACAAATGCTCTTAGCACAGGGTGTGAATGTCAGTCCTGTGCAGGGCCAGGAGCTGAACGCAGTGGCCCTTGGGGCTCCCATCCAGATCAGGATATTCTCTGATGTCATTCTATTATTCCTACCACTGGTCACTGGTGACCAGAGTCATCCGCTTGTGACTGAGGCACGTGCCCAAGTGATGAATCTCCCCAGGACCTGGAAATGCAACAGCACAGCACCTGTTAAAGGAAACACTCTTCTCCACCCCATGCTTTAATAGGGATGTGTAAGGAGACCACCTTTTTGGCCTAAAGCTGCCTGTGATTTCAAACCCAGGAACACCTAGATCCTCTAAAGATACACAAAAGAACCACATTTGAATTACTGATGATGCTTTTGCACAAACAACTGAACTCATCATTACAGTGGGCTCTGTTCAGAGCTGTAGTAAGTAAGGAATGCCTACTACCAAGATCTGGTAATCCTGCAATAGAACACTGATGAGAACAGAGGACACATTCCTTATCCCTGTATTTTAGAGACCATTTCCTCTTTGAGATCTAAAAAAAGCCCATGCAGGTGTCCCAGGTTGATAAGAAGGAAAACCAACACACATTCAGCTGAGTAAGACCTGTTCTGAGCTGCAGCAATGAATTCCATATAAGCCAGAAACAGCTGAACAAAATTTGCCCATGAATTTTAAGCTCAACATTCAGACACAAATTCAGTCTGGAAGCACCTGGAAGGCTTTAACATAATAATGCTTATTGTCTGCTGCGCCAAACTTCCCCTCACCTGCACAATGATTTAATATTCTTGATTAGTATCAATCCTGCAATCTACAAATTAGACAATGCATCTGAGAAATATAAATTAACTCTGCTTCATTTTGCTTATGTTTCAATAAACCTTTATTTAGATTTGCAGCCTTCAAGGAGTAATAACTATCCAATTCATCTGGAATTCAGGAAATAAAAAAAAAAACAACCATCAAGATCCCATTTTAAGAATTAGATTGAGGTGTTTGCTGTGTTTTCAGTAAGAAAGTAGAGGGTGGGAGGGGAAGGCAGGGAGAGGTTGCTTCGGAATAGTCACACTCCCATTAATCTTTAGAGAGGAAAAGTGCAGTGGCATCAGAGATATTGGAGAGACTTCTCAATATTCAGTTCTGATGTCTCCCCACAACCCCTTTCCTGTTCTAAACCAAGACCAGCCCTTTCAGCAGGATTATTTAAAAGTATTTCTAATATATTTATATATTATTTTACTTTGTAAATCCTTCCCCTCAGAAGTAGGTTTCATTTCTTTCTCTTTCTCATAACTCAACATTTCTTTTCGAGTTTTTCTTCAAACTTTTAATTGACTTGAGCATTGAGCAGGAACTGGTATTCCCAAAGGGGAAGAAACAGGAAAATTATTAGCCTATAAAGACCAAAAGGTGAACAGCACTCTTGTAACAATAAATTGCTGTCATAATTCAAGGAGTTACTACAAGGGCTTTTGTTGTATTTTCTGTCTCCTGTCCATCTGAGGAGGAGCAAAGAAGTTTATATTTGGTGTTAATATAGTTAACAATTAATTTATTAAATGCCTTATGTACACATTGCCATTTTGATAAATATTTTCGCTGGCAATATGTACTGAGGTCCCTCACCCTTATACCCACAATCAAATTCCTCAGGGCAAGGACCTTGTCAAAATTATCCACAGTAGAAAACAAAGGTAAGTCTGAAGTTACACACACAAAAATACAGTCAAAAATACCCTAGGAATTTACAGGGCTGTGAATAATAAATCTAAATTATTTCAGGTGGCAGTATTGAACTTCCTGAAGCAAAAGCAAAAAGCAGCTACACTGTCTTTCCATCCGAACCCAACAACCAACCAGAAGCAGAAGTATCTTAAAATAGCTGCACCCAAACTTGTCTGTGGACCCAAATTTGGATTTTGAGCCCTAGAAATTAACTGATGCCCCCATTTGAAGCTTGGTCTGTTCAAATCCAAATATCCACAGACCTGGAATATCAAGACCTGGCATCTTCACACAGGTGCCATGCAACCATCATGTACTAAACATAACACAGTAGCTCTGAACTTCACAGCAGCATTTCCAGAGTGATTCTCCAAAAGACAAGATCGGTTTCTATCAACAACAAAGACAATGTTTTATTGAACAAATCTATGTACAGTACAAAAGGTATTTAAAATGAAACACTACTGTAGATTTATTGCAGTTTGATGGCTCAGTTTTAATTTGTACTCTTATATAAAATGCAAAGTAAAATAATTTAACATTCAACAAGGAAGCACAAATTTCCTTTCTTGCTGAACCTGTAACAGCTTTTACAAATTAAGAGTCCCAAAATGCATACACTGCATTTAATCAGAAAGGTGTTATACAGTACCAAATAAATTAAGAAAATAGTAACACTACCACCCCCGTTGGGTCTTTTGTCCATAGCACTGGTGTTAAACAATAAAAGAAATGAGTACAGCTGAACCTTCCATGTGATATTAAAATCACAAAGTTTAATGTTATAAATTATCCAAACTATACAATTCATATAATTTTTATGAATATGGCTAAATAACCAAAGTACCAGTGACCTTGTTCCACAGATATGACCACTTGCAACCTACTTTCAGTATTCCTTTTTTTTTTGTGAAAAGGTGCCTACACCAAGCGGCAGCTTTTTGGAATTAGAAATTACATGACCTTTACAGTAAAACATAATGGGGTTAGAGGAGACACTCTTAAAAGCAAAGTCCAAATCCAACTGGAGGAATGTTATTAAATACAATTATGAGCACTGAATTGCACTAACTTTGATCCAACAAGGCTCCTAAGATCATGGATAACTTCAGGCAGCTTTAGGGTAGCTGGAGGCTTACATTACACATGTACTTCAGGATTTATTGAATCAAAGTGCTACATCTTCAAGGATTTCCAATTATATCACACAATGCTTAATGACTGGGAAAAAAAAAAATCAACTGAAAAACCTCCAACTTTCAAGACCTGTAACCTGTTTTCAGCCTTAGAAGTTGCAGGCTTAGTGTACACACTAAATACATGAGAGAAACAAATGGTGGTGTCCCAGAAAACCATTTTGGAACAAAAATTACTTTAATGAAGGTACAAAAAATTATGGTCACAGTTTATGTATGTACACAGATGCGTTTATCTACACACTTAAACCAAAGATAATACAAGTCTCAATCATGTTTTTAAAGCATCTTCAGACATATGGAGCTCCAGGGAAAAGGCAAAAAAGCACCAAAGATAAAAACGTACATTAAAAAGATTTGACACAAACATCTTTCTTGTATTTTTGTTGACTCGCTTTTTAGATTTTCAGAACTGTAATACTTGAAAATTAACCCTTTTCCCCCCAAATATATTTAAGCCATGTCA